TAGAATATTATACAATAACTAAAGAATAATGTAAACACCGTACTTACTAAATAAACTGATAAAATTATAAATAATGGTTTTAACCTTGAGACTTAGACTCCTAGTATATCAAAAGTGTTGTTTTAAAAAAACATATATTTTAACAAAATAAAAAACAGAATCCAAATTATTAAAATATATTTACAACAATTAATATAATAATATTAAAAATCAAAGTTAAAATAATAAAACTTAGGGAAATTAATTTTGTAAACACAAAATATATGTAATTATCAACAGGTAGATATTAATCCCAAAGGAGATATTTAAGTGGTTAAATGTATAATTTATATACTAAAAATGTGAAAAAAAATTAATACCTAATGTTAAAATAATTAAATCTTCTTTTTTTATCTTCTTGTACATGCTCGGTTTTCTTTACGTACATTCATATTTTATATTTTACTATTTATTAAAAATTTAAACTGTAAATATTACTTAAATTATAATATTACCGATATGAATGGTTTTAATATTAATACTAGTTTAATTTTAGATAAAAAAAACATAAAATAATTATTACGTAATGCTTTTTTTATATATTTATATATAATTTATTTTTTTTAATCCAATGATTATTTAATTTACTATTTAATTAAATTTTTAACAATTTTTCTTAAAAAGTAAAACTCAAATGTTAAGTCTATACACAGGCATTGTAATTTTCATTGTGTTCACTTTAGTTCATTTCTTATAAATATTTTTTTTTTTATTTTGAAATGATTATCATAAGTGTCGAGTCACGATTTAATTAAAATGTAGGTATAAATGATTTGTAAAAAAATAAAAGTAACTAAAGGATCTATCTTCAATTTTATGAACTACATTTTGATTAATATACTATCCCATCTTTTAAATATAAATACCTATTAAAAAAAGTTCATATTTTTATTTAAGCCCCATTAACAATTGAAAATAGAATTTTAATTGATAATTTATAACCCAGGTACCTATAGAACATCCGAGCATATACCTGCATCATAATAGCTATAAAAAATTACTTAAATGAACATACTGTCGTTCGCAGAGCGTAACAAGAGTAATATACATAATCTTTTAAACCTTTTTTTATTCAGAGGGGTGAGAGCACTCATTTTATCATTAATAATTTTTATAACAATTAAACATACATTTGATAAGTTATAAAAAATTATTTTTGAATATTTCCAAGTATAAACGTTCGTGTAGTGCAATTTAATTTAAATAATTTATATCAAAACTTTAAAATTTACTTGCTATTGCATACAAAGAAGACAACAAGCAAAACAGACGACAATAAAATTAAATTGTCTGAATTTGATTTAAAAATTTGATTAAAAGAAGAAAACAAGTCATCTAATTATGTATTAACAAAATTAAAATCATGTAATAAGTGTAACAATCATTATAAGATTATTGTTATTAACTCTGTTTCAAGTTCCCACTATTCTAGAAACTTTAAGAAACACGCTTTTCCTGCACAATTTTACTGGCATAATCAAAAGTTAATTTAAATCAAATTCAAATTCATTTCTTTAACTTTTTAAAAAATAGCTGACGTGAAATTGTATTTATTGCCATGGTTGAGATTATGATTCAACATATTTGTACGTTATACCTGCTAATATGTTTATAATATAATCATAATAATTTAAATAATCAATCATTAAAAAAAAAAAAAAAAAAATGGTTAGGGGACTAGTGTATCATGTTTTTAATCCTAATGAGTGTTTGCCGTTAAAGATTCAAAAATATAATTAGCATTTAAAAACTATAATAAATTATTTTTTTTTTAATTAGAAATAAATATTTTTATTTCCATAAAAACTAAACTGTAATGATTTAAACTCAAAAAATATTAGTTAATGTATTATTGTTTTATATACCTATGTCATCTATCATCATTATTTTATATTTTACATGTTGTAAAGTAAGAACTGCTGATATTAATCATTAATTTCATATTCACTATTCACATAATATAAATTTTCTATATCAATAGTATTAAATAATTTATAAAAAATAAATAGCTTTACATGTATTTTATCATTGCGATTAATAATATTAAATGCAGTGCCCATAAATATAAAACATATTTATCAATAGGTGGTATACATTTCGAATCTCTACTATTTAGAGAATTTCGAACATAAATGAATTTTACAAATTACATAATATGTAAATATATTCGTATCAATAACTTAGTATAGATAAGATAGAAAAAATGATAGACACATTATTAAATAAAGTATAATTAGTAAATAATTAACGATAAATAATGTATATTGAATAGACAACAATAAACACAATTTATAATAAAACTAGGTGTGATTATTTGGTATATAAAATTCTATTAGATGGAAAATAGTTATTTATAATTCGTGTATATATTTAGACTTAAAATAGATTCTATATAAGTTAAAGATTTAACAGACAAAAATGACACAATCATTGAATAATTTATATATAATATACATAATATTCAGCACTTCTACAAACAATTTCAATGACTGTAATCAGTATAATCTGATGATTACTTAGATTTCGCTACGGTCTATGAATTTTATGATCTGACCAATATAAAATAATGACAAAAGAACTGGCCTAAATTGTTAAAATGTAGAATTAAAAAAATAAATGGACTTAAGTCATCAAAAACCAGTGATAAACAGATATATACTAATATTTCATTATTTAGGAATGAAATGCTTATTTTATATTAATAACTAAAAAAAAAATTCTACAGAAATTACGAGTGGGAAGTAGGACGACAAAATGAAAAATAGTTTTTAAAAATACTTTAACAACAATAAATAATATTTGATATAACAATGCTTAAACGAGACACTTCTTTGATTTAAATACTTTATTTTTTCTTGAAGGTGAATAATGAATTGATTTTTATATTATTGTTATGATACATTATCGTGATTAAGAAGTATAATTGTACCATAATATATTTAACATATTTTGATACTATAAATATTAATTTTGGTATTAAGTATAAATACTTATACATTAACATCTGAGTCCTAGATAACTTATGAGAATGGACAGTAATAATCTTAAAGCAAAATTTCAGAGGAGTAAAAACATTAAGATCAGAAAAGTACGATAAAATTACTAAATACATGTAACACAAACTCTAGTACTATACGACTGTAGACGTTACGGTAAGCAGCTCTGATCAAGTTAAGTATTATTCTCGTTAACCACAGTTGTCTAAGATCCACGATTAAGATGAGCAATGAACCTTAAACCAAAATAAACAAAGGTTCTTAATATAAATATACATAAAGTACCGTTTATCTCAAGAAATTTAAAAAATATATAAATATCATTGAAATACAAATTACTATAAATATTACTATAGCATAGGTTGGTAGATATATACAAATTTTAAGTACTTTTAATTGTAACTCCTATTAAATATTTTAAATATATACTGAAGTATATTTTAGTAATAAATGCAAGTCTATTATTCACGAATAAACTGAAAATAATATTTTAAAACATACATTACGCATGTATTATAGTAGATTACAACATTGATTTCTATAAATTTAAATATTAAATTAAGAGTTGAGTTATACCTTTAAACATATTATTGTTGTGTAATATGATATATTAATAGAGATATTTACCAAGACAATATATAATTACCAATGCAATGGAATATGAACACCATGTCCTGTCAAAATATCGTACAATATTTGATGAATTTAATTATAAATAACTAAATATAATTAAAACGCTAGAGGAAAAAATAAGTAAAGGCTATAATAACGAGTATACCTTTATTAAAATAATAGATTGTATTTAGTTGAATGTTGATTTATTGTTTAACTGAACATCAAAAGATCTAAAGTAGGACAAGTATAGTAATACGATTATTGTTAGTGGCTAATTTTTAAAATGTATTCAATAGACACAGTTATCGTTTTTAAAATTTTAAGAAGGAATCCACAAATTAAAAACAAAATTAAGTTTAATTATTATTTTACAATCGAGAAATTATAACAATCGTATGTTCTATGAGAGGAAGAAAAAGAGACATAATTATAGATAACTTTATCACATATTAAATACAATACTTCTTTTTCAAAATCAATTTAAACTAAAAATAAAAAAATTTAAAAAAATGTGTATTTTATATTTTATTATATAATGAACTAATAAGTACATACCTATAATTTAAAATTAAAGACTAATTTAAATAAAACGTAAACCTGAGGCTTTGTCATATGAACAACTGGACCGATATTTATAGAAATATTTTTACATAAGTATCTATTTACTTTGAGCTACAGTTACCTATCAAAACTTTGGATTCTATACATTTTTAGTTTATTTAAAATATTCAGAAAATATTTATTTTATATTTAATTTTATAATTTATTTATTTAGTTGTTATTTTTTTTATTTTTTTTTTTTACGAAACAAAGACAAATTTGTAAAATTATAATGACTAAACATTTTTTTTTCCTTAAATACATTTAATATTTAAACCACAAACCATCATTAAAAGTTACAAACTTACAAACTATGCATTATTTTAAAAATATAAGCATTCCCTTTTTGTAATTTGATATGATTTTCATCAAAATAACTAAAAATGTGAAAGTTTAAACATTCACACACAAAATAAGAACACTCGTCACTACATTTCGTTAAAAAAATAAATAGTTTAAAGTGGCCATAACGTAAATGGTAAATATTATTCACGTCAGATACGACATTTGCCATAAATTCGCTAAGTATTTAACATGTTCACTCGGTCGATAAGCATCGCAGAAAAACATTTTACTAGTAAACGGTAAATTATCAGTTGATGCCTAATGCCGATCCGAATCAAAGAAAATATACTACAGATCTCATCACATATATTATATTTACAGAATGAATTTATACTACATACATTTTTATATGCCGATGTAGCTATCTACTAAACTACATATTGTGTAATTAAATTTATTTTTCAGAGACCAGATAACGGAAAAGACCGTCGGATGTCTGTGGAACGGTCGTAAAGCAACGTCTGTGATTTTGTCGTGATGAGCGTGCGGGCGCTATTGCGCGCCATACTTTTGGCTATCTTGGTCACCGCGACATGTCAAACAGACGAAACAACGAACGATTATTCCACTGTTGATTCTACAGAGCAACCAGAATCGACTGAAGAAGAGGTAAGATCCAATAAAAATATATAATAATATATCGAAATAGTTATTATAAATCGAAAACTAAATGAAAACATTTAAAATTAAATACAATAATATGCATTAAAATGGTACAATGTATCTTTTAAAAACCATATAAATAACTATGATAACTTTAGTCACTACTCACTAATTATAATCATAATTAGGGAACGGATTTTATTGTAAATACATATTTTTATCATATTTTTATTGGAATGAGATATTTTAAATCTGATAAAAAATGTGTACAATTTAGATCATTCTAATTAAAATAAACCCATATTAATTTTACATATTTTTACAAATTATAGCATAAATACATATTTTGTACATATTTAATTAGTGATTTTTGATTTTTTCATTAATTTTTGAAGATCATAAACATTATTTGCTTCATCTAGATTAACAAGATTAATAATTTTTGACGACCACCAAATATACATTGTCTAAATGGCATATCAATATAAAATCGGCCGTAGCTATTGAAAAAGCAAATTTACTGATGAAAAACATCAATTTAAAAAACAACTTGATATACATTTCTGCAAATTTTTGTTTTTTGATTCAGACAATTAAACAATTAGAAATTAAAAACATGTCTTTGATAAAAAAAATATTAGTATTATAGAAAAATCTGCAAATAAATTAGAAAAAACTCAAGGACACCTGCGAGAAATAGTCAAAAACAAATTTGCCAATATAATTGAAAAAAATTCTGAATTTCAAACTATTAAAATCATCACAAATATTTTAATTGGTAAAATTTAACAAGGATCTCTGGACATTGAATTCCCTCTTTCTGATATATTAAACATGAATTATACCACTATCACATATCTTTTGACGTAGAACGGTCTATTAGTTAATACAAGAATGTTCTCCAACCAAACTGTCGCAATCTTTCATTTGCAAACCTTCAACAATATGCTGTTTTTCATTGCTTTGTTCTGGAATAATACTCATAGTTTTATACACCTACATTATTTATATTACTTTATTTATATAATATTAATTTTTTTTTATTTTTTTTTTTTTTTTGTAATTTTCAATACTAATACATTTTTAATTTTTTTTTTTTTACATATTTATTTACAGATTTTGATTGTTTTATTACAATAAAGTCCGTTGCCTAATCATAATTATACACTTAATCAAGTTACAAATATTAATACAGATTATTACCATAAAATAAAATGGACATTTATAAATATAATTGTTTATATGTATTAAAATATAATATATAAATTTGAAAAAACCTATATATTCATTGTTCTAATTAGAATCTAAAATTACTGTTAAGTTTAATAATTATATAATACTCATAAAAGTATTTTAGCAGTTTTATTAGTAAATTAACTTACACAAATGTCGTTATTACTAACAATTATGTAGTGATTTTTTATTTAGGTTTTCATCACTTTAAAAGTTTAAAAGATAAAAATATCACCAACATCACTGAAAATATAGTGTCATAATAAAATCTACAATAAATTTAAATTATAAAAAGGTGAGCAAGATGAAACCACATAGCCTTTAAGACTACAAAAATACGTTTATGGATATTTCTATCAAAGTAATTTATTTCACTATTAGAATTACGATAAGATTATTTAATTTAATCCATAACATAACATTTATTAAACTATTAGAAATAAATAGTATTTAATTATTATAATAACATATATTTATATCGTATTCAATAATCTTTATTAAATTTAAGTCAATACCAACTTATTTTAAAACAGTATTATGGTAAAAACTATTAATAGAATTTATCTTAAAATTAATCTATATATTTTGAAAATTTCTAAACGTATAATTAAATTTATAATATACATAAAAGTTTTAAACCCTCAGGAATAATAGATTTGAGTTATAATTTATAACAAAATAATTAACACATCGTAATCTATTGTTTAAATATGTAACTTCGTCCAAATATGAACTTCAGAGATCTATAAAAAATAAGTGTTTATATATTTTTTAGATTTGTTAGTTTCAGTATAAACTACTTATGAAGAATCTTGTACAAACATTTTTATTGACAATAATAGAAAAAAAATTTAATTTAAAAAATTGCTCCAAAAAAGTCAAAATATTATGAAAATTATACCATGTATATATAAATATATACATTTTAAGTTGCTTAAGTTAATCAATTTTGTATAAAACTGATTTAGCGTAAAAATTCTTATTTTTCTAGTTTTTTTTTTTTTTTTATTTGGATTATTAAGAAAAGTATTGAAAATATTTGACCCCCAAAAAACCAATTAGATTAAATTTTTTACCAGCTACCAAAATAGGAAATTGAAGAACTTTTACTGCTCCAAAAGGTAAATGATAACAGATACAAAATAAAAAACACCATTCAAAATTAATACTACCATCTAAAATGGATTCATACTGATTACTGATACTTCATAACATATAGTATTATACAATTTGCCCTAATATATTGCAGTATTATCACATAAATATTATACCACAAATAAAAAATGTATAATGATGAACATTGATATGTAATACTTATCATATTAGGTACTGTTAACATTTAAAATTCTTGTGAATTATATGTTAATTGTTAGTTAAGCTATATATTTAAAAAAAAAAAGAAACCTAAGAATTTGAATATACATCATATATTGTAACGCAGTTATTAAATGGAACTTAGTTAAATATGATCAATTAAGTAGTTAGTATAATTACTTATTAATAATTATCATTGGCTATTAGTTAAGTATAATTTAGAAATTTACATACAATGTTGTTATTTTTATCATTATTACATCATAAGATATCTAAATATAAAAACCAAAATAATTGTCTATTATTTAAGTTATATCGAATTTATTTATTTTATTGACCGAACTGTTTTTTAGAATATAATATAACTGTATATACTTACTACAAATACAATATCCTGATAATAAAATATATAAATTGAATTTCAACATTATTGTGTGATGGCAACGACTCAGCGGGTGACTGACGTGCAATTATAATGGAAAATTATTTTATTTTTCACTTAAAATATTTTTTAATTTTTTTTTATACATTATTGAAATATTTGTACTTCTTATAAATAAAAAAAAAAATTAAATATCAATATAAACGATAACATCGTAATTGAAACAAAATATTATGTTGACAAATACATAAAAAGTAACATTAAGATTAACATTTTCCAGAAAGTTTTAGGCATGCTTAGACTATTCATTTTATTTTTATTAGACAAGATCACGTATTTTAATACGTAAAAAAAAAGATAAACTAGTTGAAATATATTTGTAAGAACGTATCACGACTCACTAGTGTCATTGAGGAAATTGAATGGCAAATGGGTCAAAAATATAAAAATGAACAATGCAAAAAAAACAACTGTGATAAGTAGTAACAAATAACAACCGATCGAAATCCTTTAATTTTTTTAATTATTAATGAATTATTTATTTTTTTTTAGAAGCAACTCGTAACTATGTTTTATTCATCAAATAAGGAATTTTAAATTGTTGTATGCAGTTAAATATACAGTAGTGCGATTAAAATATTTTTATCATACTGACTCAAATCGTTAAATTTCACAAAATTGATAATATTATTGTTCTAAATATTATTTTAACTAAAAACTTGCTTAATTACAATTTAAATAATCGATTATTTTACCTAAATACTTATTATCATTTTTATTAATGCTCAATTATTGTAAAGTGACTATATGGGACTCAGTACTCGTATGATGTAGAATGTTCGATACCTTTATATGTTCCATCATATTCTAAACCCTACTTTTTAATTAAATAAAACAAATGCATACACGTTATTTTCAATAATTTTATCTTAGAAAATGACTTAAATCATTATTCGTAGGTATATACTCTACATGATATAGTGTTTTCATTTGCTATGATATAATTAGCCTTATGAGTGACAAATAACTAATAAGTTAAGCGGAACATTATTGTTAGTTTTGCCAAGTACATTTAATGGATAATATGCTGTTATGAGACAATTTACTCTTCTTGTACGAAACATAACGCCCACTTTGAAAATACGTTCACAAACAATGAATCGATAAAAATTGTCAATTTAAAGAGTAGGTACAACAAAAATGTTAATACGCCCAATCTATTTAACCGATCAATGCACGCACATACACGTCCGCCTGCTTGCCTTTCGTTTAATTCTCTTTTAACGTGGACATAACTGGGTCACTTGCGGTTTGAATACATTGAACAAAACAGCGATTGTGATTTTACAATCCTTTTGCTCACACATATGTATATTCTCGTATGACCATAAACTTAAATTATTTATCGTGGACGGCAAAGAACTATGCGTATACACATTATTATAAACACAATAATATCGATCGTGGGCGTGAGTCCCTATTTATATATTGCGAATTGCAATTTCGCTTTTTTTTCTTTCGGCCAGGACTAGCGCGTGTGTTCACGTGCAACGCTTATAATAATAATATAAAAATATTTAACTCCTTCACGCCGTCCACTTCAACAAACTCGTATTTCCGGCCCCTGACCCCGCTTCCGTTTCTGTTTGATCACTGTGTATCAACTTTATTTCTAAATTCGATTTGGCCGATCGCCTGAGTTAATGGTGCAAAATGAATATATTGATGTAGTTGATCCACTACGCGTTTTCGTGTAAACACTTCATAATAAAACATTAATACCAAACAATACGCGACGCGTACGCGCACATTTATTACATAATGTGCTCGATAATAATCCCGGAACAAATGCAATTGATCTGCATCGAATAGCTGATAGGTAATCTGTACACAGTCGTGTACTCGTGTGCAATGTCCCATGACACACACGGTCGCCACTGTCATGGCGTATATTATCCACAGTGGCCGGTGCGACATTCCCCTGGAGCAACGGGTTTTGCACCGCCACCGTGACGATGCCCCTGATAAGGCTGCGGAACTTATTTATTTGTATATATGCATACTTGGGTGTATGTGT